TGCTCTCAGCTGAGCTAATGCGCGATCGAATTGCCAGCCTTGAGAGAGCTAATATAGCAGTGTCAGAGCGTAGAAAACGTAAGAAAAAGCGGATACAGAAGCGTGGAGTCCTTACAAAGGGAGCTGGCGAGGATCTACTCGCTCAGCGTGAGGCTGATCAGCAGATTGCTCATGAAGAGCGTCAAGGAGGAGAGCGATTAGGTGTTAGCCGCCAGGCTCTTGCGCGCTGTAGTAGGTGTAGGGAGACTGGTCACAATGCACGTACATGCAAGAAAGATACTTTAGATAGTACTTAATCTACTATCTTAATATATAATAGAATAATTAATTCATGGTGGAGCTACGCGCTTGTAGAGGTGTATAAGTTTGGTGGGGTGCGGCGCTCGCCCGTGTGCGGCGCTCGCCCGTGGAACACGTTATATAATAGTAGCCTACTTGAACTGCGTACTAGATAGTCGTCCTGGCGTCTTCTAGCGTAGGTAGATCTAGTTATGCTGCTTTAAGCTATACTCTTAGATACGCTTCTTACTACGATTAATATACCTATACTTATAGCACTTTAAGCTATCTATGTATACGGGTAGATAGAGTAGCGGCGTAGTATCTAGGCGTAGAAATATAACCTAGTCTGCATTATTAGCCTAGTTGCGCAGCTATAGCTTCTAGCTAGTAGCTTATACTATGCTGCGACTGTAATGGGCTGCGCCCGTGGAGTGAAAGCACGTGATTGTATCACGTGCCTACATCACGTGCCTATATCACACCGCTTAGTTAGAACTTACTCGTACGAAGAGTAGAGAAGCAAGGTATAAAGAGAGAGGTGTCGTACGACAGCTTAACTCTTCTTATCTTTCTTCTTCTGTACTATAGGTTAATGCAAACTCGTTCGAAGGCCTCTTCGCCCATAACAGATAGCTCTCTTGGGTGATGTAGATCGATCGATCTGATCTGATAATTTGGATACTAAGAAACTCAGATACATTACCCAGATCTTTAATCTCTAGATCTGATATATCCGATAGATCGTGGAATAGATTCTTGATTTTTTGCTCGTTTTCTCCAAATATAAGTAAATCGTCCACGTGAGTAGCGATTATAATCTTCTAATCGCAATTGATATATATGGCTGTATCAATAGATAGAGATTGAAATCCTAGTTGGCCTAGTAGGCTTGCTAGTAGCTTCTGCCATTGTCTACTGGCTTGTTTTAATCCGTACAGTGCCTTGTTGAGTAGGCAGACGTGCTGAGGGTATCATGGATCTGAAAATCCTTCTGGTTGCTCGATAAATATCGTAGTATCGATAAGAGCATTTAGGAAAGCTTGTTTGATGTCCTAGCTTTAAATAATCCAGTCTTAAGCTGTAGCTATCGCTAGTAGTAATCTGATAAGATCAGGTCTAGTAGTATTGGCGAACGTTTCTTGATAGTTAACGCCAAATTCTTGTTGAAATCCTTTTGCTACCCAACGAGCTTTGAAGATATAGTCGTTGTTTTGTTGGTATTTTCGGTTAAGTACCTAACGACCTTTGAGAACTGGATAGCTAGTAGGCCTTGGCACGAGCGTCCAGGTGTTGTTCTTCTATAGTTGATCTAGCTCTTTCTGCATTGCTGATAGATATTGATCCTTGTTAGCGTGTTTGAGGACTTGAGCGTAGTTTTTTGGATTGGTGATATCCCTAGAGGTAAATAAGATCTCCTCTAGGATGATGTCCTCTGTAGAAACTTTGGTGGATAGAGCTGATACGGCTGTTCTAGCTCTGTTCTTGATTAGAACGATTGGATTCTTTCCAACTGTTCTCCATTGATTGGTGGATTGATTGGTGGATTGATCGACGTTTTGATCAATTTTTGACGTCTTCATCTGATCTCTCTTCGGATGGAGATTTTGATCAGTTTCTTGATTGATTTCTCGATCGATTTCGAGTTGCGATTCGTGATCGTGAGCTTGATCGTTGAACACTCCTTCGAGTATTCTCACATCTCTCGCAGTTACAATCTTATTTGACTTCAGATCGATTAGTCGATATAGATTACTACTGAGATAGCCAGTGAGATAGTATGGCTGGACTCGAGGATTAAGTTTGCCAACGAATTCTTTTGGCTCTTTTTGATATGCTAGAGATCCCTAGATTTTGATATTGCTGATATTTGGCTTATATCCATATTTGGCTTCGAATGGTGTTCGAAAGCTGATAGAACTATATAGCGTTCTATTATATAGATATACTACTAAGAGTAAGGCTTCTGCCCACAGCTTATTTGGTATTTTAGATTCAAATAGTAGAGCTCTAATCTTATCGAATAGTGTTTGATTAATCCGTTTAGCTCTATCTTTGCCTTCTAGATTAAATGGAGGGGTAAATCGGAGTTTGAAACCTTTTCTATTTAAGAGCTTCTGTAGATCTTTCGTATTCAGCTTATTATCTAATTAGATGAGCTTAATCTGCTTTGAATCCTGTACTTCAGCTCGTTTGATAAAAGCTTTAACTGGTGTTATAAGCTCTGATCTAGATGTGAGGAGATCGACTTCTAGATACTTAGTGTGGTAGTCAAGAAAGGTTATATAGTACCTATAGCCCTTATTCGTTTTTGGCTTAATAGGCCCTCCTAGATCGTAGTAGATAAGATCGCTAAAATCATTGACTGGAGTTAAGATTAGATCTCTGCTTATTTTACTAGCAAATTTGCTTTTTAAGCATATCTCGCAATTGCTGAATGAGTTGCTAGTCTTGATATTTGATTTGATGCCATCGGTATTTTCACGAAGCTTATTTAAGCTTGTTTTTCTGATATGGCCGAAACGTTGGTGTAGTAGAGATATCTGATTATTCTGTTCGATAGATTTTGATTGATTGAGCTGTTCTGATAGATCTGATTGTTCGGATAGATTTGATATATCAGATGATGGATTCAGCTGGTCTGATGGATCGATTAGTTGTACTGAGTTATTGATCTCTGTATGGATCTGATTGGTTTGATGGATATCGCTGATCGTGGTAAAGATCGCGATCTTTCGAGCGTATTGTCCCTTGGCTAGTGTCTTGCTAGAATGAGTATTATTATTATTATTATTATTTTGGTTTTACGTCCTGTCTCAGCCGGTGGGCTATATAAGACGTGCAGGCTAGGCCCGCAAGTATCTACGTAGTGCTATCACTTTGGTGTAGGTGGGGGAGGGGGCTATCTAAATCGAGGTGAGGCTCGTAGCCTAGTCTAGAGGGAGGTAGAAGGGGGTCTTGCGGGTAAAAGAGAGAGGTAGGGTGGGTGTAGGGCGAGGCCACCTAGTATAGGTGTTGCCCTAGTTCTCGAGGTTTCCTTTGTGCCAGGCCTGTGTTGCAGCCCTAGTTTCTTCAATAAAGGCAATAGTAGCCTGTATGCCTACGCTCGTGTTTAGCAGGAAGGCTAGCGATAGGGGGTCCTTGCTCGCCTCCTGCATCTTTATCCTAGCCTCCTTATATAGCGTACAGCTAAGGAGGATATGGGTAGGATCTTGAGTAGCTCTATAGTTGCAGGGGCAAACTTTAGAGTCTACTTTGTCTCGCGTAAAGAGAAAGTCTCTTAGGTAACAGTGGCCTAGCTTAAGTTGAAAGAAGGCGCTAGAGACTTCTCTACTAGTAAGAGGAGGAGTGGCAATCTGCTTCCTAGTCTTCCACTTATACCTTGCAGCATAAGTAGTAGAGTTGAGGGCAATAGCCTTCCTCCTAATATGTCTAGATAGCTGAGCCACTCTCGCTCCGCCTAGCTGTTT